TTAAACATTTGCTTTTATGACCAAATACTTATATCAGTTGAAATGGCATTTAAAATATATCATTTCTACTTTTCTTTCACTAATAGTTGATATTTTGAATTTTTGTGGGTATAGATTTCAAATCTATTCAAAAATTTTATCAGAAATTGTGAAATAATTATAAAGCTTATATTTAAAGAATTCCCAAACATTGTTAGAACAGCCAATCTGCAGCTGCCATAGCTACAACTAAAATAGCAAATCAGCAGCATATAGAACAGAATTATCTTATATTTATGTTGTTAAACTTTGGGTTATCTACTAGGTCTATGCTCACTAGAAGTTCCTGCCCAACCTCCTTGCTCTCCCATCTGCAATGAGCTACACTTTTAACTGCATACAATGTTCTTTGTATTCTGAAAAAAATCCTAAAACCATTTCATGAGCCTTTGACAGTGGCCTACAGCTTAATGCTTAAGTAGATGTCCAGAAGTAGACACCTCCTTATCAATTCCACCTTCAGGGAGAATGGGACATACTCTCAGACCTCCACTTGCTCAGGCCATTCTCCAAGGAGCCCTGAATAAGCTTTTTATGATTAGAGACTACCTGGCTATGTACTATGGCTACTTGAGGTCACTCTCCTTGGCCACTACTGATGGGTAAGATGATTAGTATAACATATGAACATTTTGTAGCACACTAGTTGGAAAACTCAGCTCTCAGCTTGTTTCAATGTTCTGAGAATTTATTTTCACCTGATATAAGTACATATTTGTTTATTGGTTTAGGACATATCATGCTAAAATGTAGCATTCGTGAAAGCATAGAATTGTCTTTTTGCTCACTGTTGTATTCCCAGTGTGTGATGCGAGCACTTAGTATGTATTCACTGGATGAAGGACTAGACTCTAAGTTCCATGAAGCTGTCTTTATTTCCCTTTTTATTCTGTCCCAGTTCTTAGTTCATTGTAGGTATTAACGAGGTAAACAGGGTCCAGATTATAAAAATTCTTGTAAGGTTTATTAGGGATTTTAGACTATTTCCTAAAAGCAGTGAGAATCCACTGAGGTATTATAATTGTTAACAAATATTATTGGATTTTCATTTTGGAGAATGGGGTTATTGCTTTCTATTTCTCTTAATAATAGTATCTCCATTCTCCTATTCATCCAATATTAAACTCTCAAAATTATATAACACTTTTTACTTCTCTTTTGTTCCTAATGATTTGCCAAAACTAGACAATTTAATATGAGCAATATCTATCTATCTATCTATCATCTATCTATCTATCTATCTATCTATCTATCTATCTATCTATCTATCATCTATCTATCTATCTATCTATCTATCTCTATCTATCTATCTATCTATCTATCTATCTATCTAATTCTCCATCCATCCATCCATCCATCCATCCATCCATCCATCCATCCATCTATCCATCCATCCATCCATTCATCCATTCATTTATCTAGCCATCATCTATCTATCTAGAAATATCACCCCTTTTTCATTTTAATTTAGACTTTTGGTTAACTAGGTAAACTGTACCTGTTTAACTCATATCCCTGTCTTTAGTATATCTCCTAAATCGCTCTGTGCTATATAGCTGATTAGTTGTAAAGTGTTGGTCATCCCATTTATCTAAACAAATACTTGAATAACTAACTCCTTGCTAATTAAAGATAAATTCCTAGCTTTCTATTTGAAAAAAAAAATACAACATAAATTTTTATTAATTTCAACACTCATCTGCATAAATTGTTGCACTTAATCTACTTCTAAGATAAGCAAAGATTGTTTCTCTTCTCATTTAAAAAAATAAATTCAAATGTATAAAATGTTGCAAAATTACTACGAGAAAGTTCCATATAGCCTTCACTCAAATTTACCAACCATTAAAAGTTTTTCAAATTTCCTTTATCATTCTCTCTATGGATATTTCAGAACCCCAATATATTTCATTAGAGTAATCACAGTAAAATTATCCAAATTAGGACATTTAATATTGATACAAAAGTAATTGGAATTTAACATAAATAAAATGCTCATGGAACATATATTACAGGCTTTATTCATATTTAACCAATTGTCCCAATAATGTCCATTATAGATATTTTTTCAGTCTAGTATCCCATTTTGGATTACACATTGCATTTAATAGTCATGTCTCTTTAATCACCTCTTCTTTGGAACAGTTCCTCAGCCTTTATTTGACTTTCATCAGAGTAATGCTTTTGAAAAATATAGAGAAGATATTTTGTGGTGTTTCCCTCAGTTTAAATTTGTCTTTTGCTTCCTCATGATTATAGTCAAATATGCATATTTTTTGGCCTAGGCTATTAAATGAATTATATCATATACTGCTTAGTGCATTACATCATGAGGCCTGTGGTGTCACCTGGTCCCATTATTAGTGATTTTCACCTTGATTGTGTGGTTAAAATAATGTTTATCAGATTTATTCACTACAAGGAATTTTTTATTTTTTGGTAATTAAGAAGAATGTATGGTAGGTTACAAAAACAGTCCTAAGTGGTTCCCATTTGTGTGTGTATTCTTCTCTGCAATATGATTTTTCAGTTTCTCCCATAAAGACATGGAGTATATTACTCCACCTTTGAATATGAGCTTGGCCATGTAACTTCTTTGGGCTAATGGGACAATGGCAAATATATATCAACAGAACCTTGAAAAGTACTTTAAACTGGAACTTGTACTCTATTGTTGCTTTTCGGAATCATGCAACTACCACTACACAGGAAGACAAGGCTAGCCTGCTAAAGGATGATAGATCAGATTGAACAAAGATGAGCCATCCCTGCTGAGCCCTGTCCCTAATCAGCTTGCCAACAAGCAGACAAGTGAAGCCATCCATCCTAGATCATCCAGCCCAGACTAAGCCAGCCAGAGCAGAAAATCACCCAGACAATCTACAGAATCTTGAGAAATTATAGATGTTTATTGTTTTAAGCCACCGAGTTTTGGAATAGTGTGTTATAAAGCAAAAGCTAATAATTCCAAGGGAGACACTTTGGGATGATGTTATTGTATTATTACATATATAACTTTTACCAATTAGATTTATGATTCTTGCTTAGTTAATTATTACTACAAAGACTGCAAAATGATATCACTACACGTTTTAGAAATGAAGAGTATAAAGATGAGGGATTATACATCTTCAAAGAATATATGTGTACTTACTGGCTCTGCCAGCATCAGAACCCAAAATTTTTACCTGCTCGTCCATAGCTTTTCTCAGTTTGACATACAGAGGTCTGATGGCAGAACTGGAACTCACAAGAAAGAGCAATAGAGAGAAATTGCAGTGTCCCTGGTGTTATGAGTGGCACCCTGTGTCCTCACGCATGCATGGAAGCACCTCTGGCAGGTGCTCCATAATTGATAATGGGAAGGGGTGACAAAATGACCAATGTAGGAAGAGACATTAAATATAGCTATCATACCAATTTAGATAATAATTGATTCATAAATAGATAATAAGGATAACATCTTTAAGAATTGCCTTTCATGAGTATAATAAAGTATCTCATTGACATACTACATTATAATTAATATAGGTTTGTACAATGTGACTCTTAATATTTTTGAAGTAGCTATTATATCCTCCCCAGTTTTGCCAAATAAACTATGAAGGAGCTAAGACGGTGAAGTGACAATGTGAGAGGAGAAAAACACTCTTATTTCACTTTCTTACAAATAGGAAAACTGAGAATGAAGAAAGCCAAGGACCCAAAATAATCGAGAACAAACAATGAATAAATGGCAAAGCAAGGACTTGAATTCAGCAATCCCAATTTCCTAGAAGAGTCTTTCCCACAGGGCAGTGCGGGGGGCGGGGGTCTGAGGGAAGGGCGTCAGGTCCTAAGTCTTCAGATTCTAATAATATCTGAGTCTTAAGTCTGTGCCTTGTGCCAAGCACTGTTCTAAAATCATTACATATATTTTAACTCATTTAGTACCACAGCCTTTTTGCTACACTACACATTCACTTAGAGATGACTGCCCAGTAACTTTACTTTAAATGCAAGCATTCAGGTACTTCAGGTTGCGTGCGTGCGTGTGTGTGCGTGTGTGTGTGTTAAAGACCATACCCTCCTGATTGAGAAAGGAATTCAAAGATCCTCTTAAAAAAAAAAAAAAAAAAAAAGCACAAGGAAGCGCTTGCATTCCCAGTTCTCTTAGTGAGTTTGTAGGCTATAACTGTTGCCAATAGAACACTAGGATCCTGGCAGAGCGTATGAACTGTAATGGACAAGAAGCCAAACTCTTGCATGTCCTTTCTGCTTCAGAGCGCCCAAACCTCAAGTTCCCCTGGAGAGCAGACGGCGGGAGTGCGGTAGCCTGAG